GGAACTTTTATGACTTTCAAGTATTCAAATAATTAAAGAAAATCAATTTCTGCATTTTAAAAACTTTTTGTTAAGGCTAAGTTTATGTCAGATCAGAAGTAGATTTATGTACTGTATATTCAATAGGCTTATAATAACATGCATTACAATCAATATATTTGATATAATTTGTTTCATCGGTTTTACATAAGTCACACTTACAACTACAACAAAAACACCAGACTGAGACGACATTATTACTATTATTGTTATTATTATTATTATTATTATTATTATTATTATTATTATTATTATTATTATTATTATTATTATTATTACAACCCAAACTCTAAAAATCAAAGAAGCCTTGCATATTCAGTGGGAGCAGCCCTCACTGAACAAACAGCTTTTTCATGTTAATTTATCTTTGTCATTCTAAATTCATTCCATTCTCCCCTTAGTGGCATTTAAAATACTGCACTCTGATCTTAGCTTATCTTTATTTATATTTTGCTTTGTAGTACTGTTACGGTTCATTCCACAAATTTTTTAGCTTGCATACATTGAATTTTTACTCCCCTATATCAATGATTGCCTGCGTGCAATAGATAACTGACGATGGTAGTGAACTGCCGAAACATGTCTTATTGGGGCCGTTAAGGCCATAACTTATTTGATTAAATACAGGCTTTGCCTATGATGAAGATACGATCTGTTGTGTTGTTTTTGAAAAATATATATATAAATATATATATATTTGTCTTTAAATAGAAATGTGTTACAACGAAAACTATGATGGCTACACATTTCCTGATGCAAGAGTTGGAGAGACTGTAGATTCAGAAGATTTGTGTGATAAAAATAAAGTGCATTGTAAGTTTGAAGTATTCCTCTTTAATACTGTATTTTAAATTAAATAGTAATACATTTACCAGTATATCAATTGCTGTATTTGCATATACATCACCCGGGCGGTTGCATACCCCACTATTCTAAAAAAAAGATATATTAACTACCTGTTCCCTGTACCAATTCATTATAGGCCTAATGAATAGCCTTTTTCACACAGAAATGCTTGGTGGGACCATTTGTGTATAACACCTCCATGTTCTAACAAATGTCAATATTCCTACAATTAGATCTCCTTCCTCGCGCTACACGAACTTGTGATGGCGATGGATTTAGTGCAGCCAAATGGAACACTCCCGTAATGACGGACTGCGGAAATGATGTTACAACAGAACAACAGTTAGAACATCTAAATATGGTAATGGTCAAAATCTTATAGATAGTAACACATTAATAAGTGTGAATTTATATCATTAATGATAAAAAATAAGAATAAGCAGTTACTGATAAATCTAGTTAGATTATGAGGAGAATGATGATAATGACGACATGTTGATGATGATGATGATGATGCAATAGCTGTAATAGTAGTAGTAGTAGCAGTAGCAACAGCAGCATTAAAAGCAACAGTAGTGGTGGTAGCTGCAACCTCGGCGGCATCCCTTTTTTGTATTGAACAACATCGGTGGTGGCAGAGACAAGAGCAGCAGCAACAAAATCAGCATTTTTTTCTATAGTGACTGTTTGTATGTTTTTTTTTATATTTGTTTTACATTTTATAATATAATATGTGATGACGAGCAGAAGAATTTCCCTTGTGGAACAATAAAGTTATCTTATCTTATATTAGTAGTATAAGCATGGGACTATTGAGTTCTAAACGTATTTGATAATTCTATGGTATTAATGATAACAATAATGACAAGAAGAACAACAACGAAAATTATTAGTTTATTACCTTCTCCCTCGTCACTTTTGGGGAAATTCTGATTTTTTTTTTTTTTTTTTTTTTCCGTTTTTACACCTTTTTTCACTTGAAAAGCTCAGGATTTCTTGCAAATATGTTTGCTGGTACAACAAAACATATTTTTTAAATATAAATTTGATTCCATTCTTATAACTTTTTATATATGTGTCCCTAACCATTGATTTACTTGAGAACATCGGTAAAATGTGGGCGAGGTTAGCAAAACAAAAAAAACCCCCAAAAACTCCCTCCCTCATCAGTTTTTATTTTTTATTTTTTGATAGGTTGATAAACTAATAATTTTTTAATGGGGTCCAAAACACTCACTTCAGCAGGTAAAATTATTGCTGAGGTCACTCGATCAGTTTAGATCAGGATCAAGTTAGTAGATTCATTATGATGTGTGTGTCCTGCGTAACATCTGATATTTTTTTAACCTGTTTTGTCATTTTGTTGATCCTTGTTTGTTTAGATAAATGTCACCATAGATAATGTTGAAGACGTAAGCAACAGTGTACAAGAGATTACAAGTAATACTGAAGGAATTACTGTGGAAGCTTTAGAATATACTGCTGAAATATTGACAGATATACTCCAAACAAATTCGAATTTCT